GAAGCAACGTCCTCCACAACTAGACTGAAGAACAAAAGGACAGCAACTTGTCTGTTTCCCTACCCCGATTCCCCAACGCTGTTCCCCTCTCCCAATTCCCCAGTAAAATCTTTAAAAAAAAAAAAAAAGAACGGTTCCTTAAGGTGCTTTGCGTGATGATTTCACCTTTTATCTATTTAAAAAAACAAATCATGATGATTTGTTTTACAAAACAACAAGTTTAAGTTAAATTGGTGGTAGTTTATTCTGGAAATTAAATTTGTGTGTGTGTTTAATTAATGGGACACTCCTAGTCCTCCCGTTTCTTTTGGAAGACAGCCAGTCTTATTTATTTGATAGTAATACTTCTATGTTGAGCCATATAGGACTTTTCTCCTGTTCTAAAATGTCATGATGTAGAAGAGGTATTTAAGAACTCCAAGGCCCCTTGCATTGTAACCCTGTTTTGGCATGATAGCAGTTTAGGGGAGGAGCCAAAGCATGTGATTTGGAGATGAATTACATTACTATCTGGAATGGTAAATTGGTATTTTTCCCTCTTAGATGGTAAATTTGAAAGAGAAAATTAAAGAACTCCATCAGCAATACAAAGAAGCATCTGAAGTCAAGCCACCCCGAGATATCACTGCTGAGTTCTTAGTGAAAAGTAAACACAGGGACTTGACTGCGCTGTGCAAGGTGTGGTGTACTTACATGCTTAGATGGTTTTACATGGCATCCTAAGAGAGTGTAGATCTGAGAAGTTTTGCAAGAGAGAGAGCCACTAGTCAATCACAGGTGCCCGTAGTGGGAAGAAGAGGGTTTGGTACAAGATGCTATGGGGACTTAAGGGGTTAGTTTGGTTTGAGATTGCTTTTTCTGCAGAATTCCTACCTTGTTTTCACAGTCTCATCCTTTAGCTTACTTACATCTCATTTTAACCCTCTGCCATAGTTTATCCCTGACAATTTAGAATAATGATAACAAACATGGACTCCAGAGTCATTTGGAGTCAAACTGCCTGGTTGAAAACCATAACTTAGTATTTCCTAACCATGTGACCTTGGGCTCCTTCATCACCTCATCTGGTGTTAATATACCTCATTCGTAGGATCTACAGTGATCATCCCATGCTAGGGACCTGGTAAATGCACAGTAAGTGGTAGTTGCTATTCTTTTTCACGCCCCCACCCCCAGTCTTAATTCCAGGCATTGTAACTTGTCTCCAAGAATAACCATCCCTGAGTCCTGAGCCAGCCTTAAGCTAAGACACTTGTAGATGTGACCTGGACAGGGATGTGTTCCAGGCCTTCCACTTGGTGGCATAAATAACTGGGTGGGTCTCTGACATATTCAGATCAACCTGGTTCTCTTAATCTTATCAGGAATACGATGAATTAGCTGAAACACAAGGAAAGCTAGAAGAAAAACTTCAAGAATTGGAAGCCAATCCCCCAAGGTAAGAAAATCACACAAATTTTCAGAGGGATAGCTTTTACTGTTCTTTCTGTTAGATTTCGAGGGAAAATTGTAAAGCACCATGCACTTTTATTTGTGTTCAGTGAATGGATTTTAAATTGTTTAATGAATGGAACATGGCTGTGCATGGCTGTACAATTTACCCTTGAACAACAAACAGATTTGAATTGCATAGGTGGATTTTTTTCGGTAAATATATTGGAAAAATTTTTGTAGATTTATGACAGGTTGAAGATACTTGCAGATAACCATGTAGCCTAGAAATACCGAAAAAATTAAGAAAAAAATACGTCATGACTGTATAAAATATATGTATTTTCTCTTATAATTTTCTCCAGCTTTATTGTAAGAATAAAGTATATATAACACATAACATACAGAATACATGTTAATCGACTAGTCATGTTTCTGTGAGGCTTCCAGTCAATAGTAGGCTATTAGTAGTTAAATTTGAGGGAGTCAAAAGTTACGAGTATACTGGCTATTTGCATGGAGGTGGGGGTGGTCAGCACCCTTACCCTGTGTTGTTCAACGGTCACCTGTGCTTGTCAGGTTCCTAAAATCTCTCCTATTCTTATATTTTAATGTGCAAAAGTGTCCTAGATACTTATATATATTGTTTTTGAAAATAGCCTTTCTCCATAAAATCTGACATGTGAATAAAAATGTAAATGAAAATTGTCTTCTCTAAGTAGAATAGAAGGTGGTATTGCTTTAAATTTCCATAATTCTGGAGACCAGGAAAGTGTTACACTTAATTTCCATTGGACTTTTAACAGTGAATATTTATATGCTGATACTGTGTTCCCTGTTGCGTCTGGCCTCCACATATATCTGTCTACTCTGTTCTATAGTCAGGGATGCTACCCATTCTTGCTAAGAAGTCCATGCTTTACTCAAAATGTAAAACAAATTTTTACAATGAATATGTTTTTTTTTGTTTTTTTTTTAAAGCTGAGCCGTCCTGCTATCTGCTCAGCGGCTGCTCAGCTCGGGCCGGGACTTGAACCGCTGTTGCTCAGAGCTCAAACTTTTGAGCGCGCTCTTAACCAACTGAGCCACTCAGCCGGCCCTACAATGAATATGCTTTTATAATGCAACATAACAGTATGAAGAAGTCTTTTTTTTTTTTCTCAAGACAAATGAGGCCTGACTGTAATTTGCTTTATGTAGTGAACTTGGCACTGCTCTAGGCATCAGGAATAAAGGGGTTAATAAGACAACTGAGGTTCTACTTTTTGACTTAGAATTTCTTCACATAAGGCACAGTCCCAGGTTTAGAGCCCCATGAAGTTACCACAACCATCCCCACCAGCCCATTGAGAATAATAGCAAAGTCCTTTAAAAAACCTTGTGCTCCTTTGTTTTCATTTTGCAGTGATGTATATCTCTCGTCAAGAGACAGACAAATACTTGATTGGCATTTTGCAAACCTTGAATTTGCTAATGCCACACCTCTTTCTACGCTCTCCCTTAAACATTGGGATCAGGTAAAACTCCTTTATCATTTATTTGTTGCACGTATCTTTGAGAGGGCCCTTAAGAGAAGCTTAATTTGTATGTGTGTTTTTAAACAGCTTTTTTTTTTTTTTTTTTTTTAAGAAATTTTATTGGGAAACAGTGTGGCCTTCCAGGACCCATCAGCTCCAAGTCAAGTAGTTGTATTCAATCCAGTTGTGGAGAGCGCAGCTCCTTGGCCCATGTGGGAATGGAACTGGCAACCCTGGTGCCATGAGCCCACCTCCAACCACCTGAGCTAACCGGCCGCCCCTTAAACAGCTTTCTTAAGAGAGAAAATTTGCATGTAGTAAAAGTCACCTATTTTAAGTGAACCGTTTGGTGTTGCTAAACTTATATGGTCATGAACCATTACCACAGTCAAGATACAGAACATTTTCACCATCCTTAAAAGTGCTGACTTGCCCCTCTGCAGTCATTCCCCAGCTCTCCTGCTCCTGGCCCTAGACAACCATTGGTTTGCTTTCTGTCACTACAATTTTGCTTTTCCTAGAATTACATATAAATTGAGACATACAGTAGATGTTCATGCACTATGTAGCCTTTTGTGTGCAACTTCTTTAGACTTAGCAGAAGTTTTTGAGATTCATCGTTGTATATATATCAATAGTTTGTTCCTTTTTATTGTTTAGTAATGTTCCGTTGTATGAATACACCACAGATTGTCCATTCCCTCGTGTACTGATGGACATTTGGGTTTACATTTTTTAGCTATAAATGATTGAAGCTGGTATGAACATTCATGTCATGTCTCTTGGATAAAGACCTAGGAGTGAAATTGCTGGGTCTTATAGGAAGATTTTTATAAAGCTTTATAAGAAACTGCCAAACTGTTTTCCAAATGGCATTCCACCAGCAGTGTATGGAAGTTCCAGTTGTTCCACATCCTCGCTAATACGTGGTCCGGCCAGTTTTTAAACCTGTAGCCATTCTAATGGGTGTATAGTAGCATTTCCGTGTGGTTTTAATTGGCATTTTCCTGATGACGTGGTATGAACCATCTTTTCATGTACTTATTGACCATTCATATGTCAATTCTTTGATGAAAAGTTTCTTCAGGTCTTTTGTCCATTTAAAAAATCTGGTTGTCTGTCCTCTTGTTGAATTGTGAGTTTATTTTGTTCTTTAAATTCTGGATACAATTTCTCTGTCAGCTTTTATGTTTTGCAAATATTTTCTACCAGCCTGCAGCTTGCCTTTTCATTTTCTAAGTGGTATTTTTCAAAGAGCAAAACTTCTTAATTTTATGAAATCCTATTTTGTTAACTCTTGTGGGCTTTGTGCTTTTTGTATCCTGAAAATTTTTTGCCTAACCCAAGGTTGCAAATATTTTCTCCAGTTTTCTTCCTGAAGTTTTATGGACTTAGCTCTTATGTTAGGTCTATGATCTGTTTTGAGTTAATTTTTGTGTATAGTGAGAGTGAGGGTAGGGTTCATATTTTTCCATATGGTTGTTTAATTATTCTAGCACCATCCCTTTTCTTCATTTGTCTTGGCACCTTTGTTGATCATTAGCTGACCATATGTCAGTCTATTTGTGGTTACTTTTTTTGTTCATTTATCTGTCTGTCCATATTCCACTATCACACTGTCTTAATTACTGTTGCTTTATAGTATGTCTTGAAATCAGGTAGTGTAGTAAGTTCTCCTACTTTGTTGTTTTTTTAAATTGTTTTGGCTGCCTTTGGTCTTCTGTATTTCCATAAAAAAATTTAGAATCAGCTTTCCAATTTCTACAAAAAATACTTCCGTGGATTTTGATTGGGATTGCATTGAATGTATAGATCAATTTAGGGCGATTGTCATCTTAATAGTGTCTTCTAATCCTCAAACGTGACATATCTATTTATTTAGGTTTTCTTTAATATATCTCAGCAATATCTATAGCTCTCAGTGTACAGGTCTTATACGTCTTTTGTTACATTATTCTTAAGTAGTTGAAGTGTGATTTACTCTTCAGCTGGTGAGAAGTCACAAGGCGTCTTAGATATTGAATGGACTAATCTCTAAATCTGAGCCTTTGGCCAGGCTTAAGACTACAGAGATAAATATTATATTTTCACTTACATATTTTCGTTTTAATTATACATTTTTCTAGTAAGATTTCGACTTCTTAATCTTTAGATTATACCTTGATGTCCTTTAGTATTTGAATTACAGGGCGGATTGGACTTGTTAGTGATAAAAATCGTACAGAATTCAGTTTCTTTATGGTTTTTCATGTAAATGCTAAATTAGACTTTTCTAGTCACTGCTTTATAGTTTGAAGTTTCAATATGTATCCATTTGTAATCATATTGAATTTTGAATGTGGTGATTGGAACTGATCCAAATGGGCAGCTGATGAGTCCAGTCACTAAGTGGTGAGAGTTTTGCTGCCTGCCCAGGGTTTTTATCTAATTCCTAAGAATTGTGATATGTTTTCCCCAGGAATTTCCCCAGTGAAATTAGAAATACAGCTAGCCTTCAAAAGTTCCTTTATATAGAAAATTTTTCAGTAAATTCAAAGAAATAAGATTATTTGAGGAATTTTTCCGGGCCAAATCTTGACTTTTTCTTACTATATGGATTATCTGGGGCCTTCGTCTACTTTGACTTTAGTTTTGGAAATCTTCCTCGACTTTAAAACCTTTAAGTTTAAGGAATAAAAACTGATTTTGCTCTTAAGTGAAAGAAAATGTAACTAGAATGGTGAATCTGATGTTCTACCCACTCTATAATGCATTCAAAAGCCAAACTGTTATGATATCCAGTCTCCTGAATTACCGAATCAGCGTCCTTCCCTCTCCCACCCCCATGAATAGTCCGGGTTTGGTGATAAAAGCTCCATCTAGGGAAAAAAGAGACAGCCCTAATCTCACTGCCCAACGATAGCCATTGTGGACATCCTGGCAGTTTTTCCTTTTCCCTTCAGTGTCCTGGGGCATCTGTAGCTGAATACTAGTGATAATTCTTTAACTTCTGCCTTAGCATTTACAGTTTCCATAAGGTGGCATTTTTAGTATTATTTTATAGAACTCAGTATAAATGACATAAGTTGATTAAGAAAATATGAAAATATGCCCTTTTCTCTCCTCTTCAGGATGATGATTTTGAGTTTACTGGCAGCCACCTGACAGTGAGGAATGGCTACTCGTGTGTACCTGTGGCTTTAGCAGAAGGCCTGGACATTAAATTAAATACAGCAGTTCGGCAGGTTCGCTACACGGCCTCAGGTACGTCACTCTTTACTGGTGAGAGACATCTCTTACTCTGAAACACAGTACTGTTGAGTTTGACTATAGAAAAAATACTAGTTAACATTTCCTGATAGAATGTCTTATAGACTATGACTCCAAAATTAAAAAAAAAAAAAAAACGTGTTTACAAAAGGATTGAGCCCGTAGAGCCTTTGGAGGTTCTAATCCCATCATTGTATAAATCAGAAAATTAAGGCAAGTTTTAGTTTCCAGTTTGCACATGAGCTAGTCTGGTATTATAACAGCCAGTGAATTTGGATCCAATTTTGATAAGTATATTCTTAAATACCAGGATTTTGGCCCCTGGGCTCCAGTGGGACCCACCCCTATATTTCACCATCTCCCTTTTGGTCTTTGGATCCATTCTGGCTTTTGTGTTCTTGTGGGCTAACGACTCAGGCTGCTCCGGTTCTGGGGACAGTGCTGCTAGTAAGTTCACTCAGAGATGGAATTCCTGTGATGCCTGTGGCAGTGGGCTCAGAGCCCTGATGGTTACAGGTACATTGAATGTGGGGTGCAGAGACCCCGTTGTCCACCCACCTTTGGAATTAATAGTCTTGAGCTCCTTATGGTAACTAGTCTCCCCCCCCCCCCCTTCGGTGAGGTACCTCATCACACGGGGAGATTCAGCCACCAGTCTTGCCCTCTGTGGCCCTTTTCTAGAGTTGCAGAGATCACCATGAATATGTTTTCTATAACCACTGAAACAGTTTTCCATTTAGGAGGCAGCGTCTAGCTGATGGTGTTGAGAAGGTCTGCAGCCTTGAAATAGCTATTTGCAGACAGGTGAACAGTGAGAATAGCTTTTGTGTCATTTTCCCTGGTTCTGTGGCCCCAGAAAATGGGCATGTCCTGAGTTCTCATGCTATTTATATATACTTTTGAAATTATATAAACAGGCATTTACTGAAGAAAAAACTCCAGCACAAGTGAAAAATAGCATTCACTATTTTCAGTGCCTTCCTGTGGTCACCTGTGAGCGCATTCACGTTCTGGCAAGCGGAGCATCACTGGGGTCCTCCTCCTCTGGGTCCTTAGCGAGCGAGCCCCTCCCCACAGTGGGGGAGGTATTGGTTCTGCTGGGACAGACTCTTTACTCTGAATTTTGGTCTAAATTTACTTCACATTGGTAAATAATCAGGTCTTTTTATTAGTCCAGAAGATCAGTGTACCAGGCAGGTAGGATAGTGCAGTGGTGAAGATCGAGGGCTCTGAAGTTGACCGTTAGGGTTTGAATCCTGGCACTTATTTACCTGTGTGACCTTGACAAGTTACTTTACCGCTGCCTCAGTTTTCTTCTATAAAAATGATAGGCCGACTTCATAGATGTGCATGAAGAATGAGCTGGGATAGCGTATGGATTGTGTTGTGCACCATGCTCCCTACCCTTATCAGTGCCATCCTTGTCACCAGCTAGTCTTTTCCCTTGAACCCTTTTAGGATGTGAAGTGATAGCTGTGAACACCCGCTCCACGAGCCAGACCTTTATTTATAAGTGCGATGCAGTTCTCTGTACCCTCCCCTTGGGGGTGTTGAAGCAGCAGCCACCAGCTGTTCAGTTTGTGCCGCCTCTTCCTGAGTGGAAAACATCTGCAGTCCAGAGGATGGGCTTTGGCAACCTCAACAAGGTAACTGCCCTCGGCACCTCTGCACCCGCCGCGCAAATCTGTCTGACCGCCCTCCATTCGGGGAACAGGGCTTTGCACTTTTATACATTTGCTCTGCTCTCAACTCGGACATCAGGGTGAGGCCTGACCATTCATTCACTTCATTGCCTAGTGATGTATAAAGTATCCCTGAGAGCTTCATCTTTGGGTCACTTCACAAACCCATGCCGATAAAAGGAGAGCTCGAAATCTCATCCTAAGTAATACATTTATAATAGGGATTTCTAGGCTTATATTGAGAGTAGATTAGAAGAAAGTTGACTAAGGTCTGAGGAAGAAGTACTTCCTGTTGAGGCACAGCCATGCTTACAGCCATGTTCTCCGAGCCGTCATCAGCTCATGTGCTGCCTCTTTTACATTAGGTGGTGTTGTGTTTTGACCGGGTGTTCTGGGATCCAAGTGTCAATCTGTTCGGGCACGTTGGCAGTACAACCGCCAGCAGGGGTGAGCTCTTCCTCTTCTGGAACCTCTACAAAGGTAACTGCTTTCTAGCTGTAATCTTTTCATATCCTTATAGGAGTAGAGAATTAGGAATATTCTGGTTTTTCTCAAATATATGTCTTGATTTTTCATTAACAGACAATTCCTGAAATCCCTTATAGGTGCTGGGGATATTGACGGGGGGAAAGCCTGCCTTCACGGAGCTCACAGCTAACTTGGGGGCGGGGGGACCCAGGGAGGAGGTAGGCAGTCTCAGAACAGGGCAGTAAGGAGGGTGAGAGCCCAGGACGCTGCTGAAGAAAACATAAGGAGGAATCAACCAGCCAGGAGGGCCAAGCCCAGGGAGGCTATTCCTCATTCTCAGACTTGTACCTGGGCCAAGCCCAGGGAGGGTATTCCTCATTCTCAGACTTGTACCTGACTCGCCCCTGAACCTTTGATCATTTCCCTTAGGATGTACTTATCAAACTCCTACCTCCTACTGTACTTTCTTCTGTGATTGGATTGCTCCTAATCCTATACAGAGCTTTAAAAACAAGTATATTTAGACCCTGCCTTGTTCCAGGAAAAGAATGTAAGACATTGTGCTGTGCAGCAGTGTCCAGAGGCATGGCCTTGACGTGCAGACACATCCGTTAGCCAGTGGGACCCCCACCCCAGCTCTTTCCATCACTCCTCACCGCCTGATGCGAAAACACCCTGCCCACGGCCAGGGCCACAGACAGCGCAGCAGAGGCACTTCATTCCCTGAGCACACTGCTCTCTGGCAGCAGCTGAGCGCCGCTTCCCTTTCCCCGTCCAGGCATTGGGGCCCGTCAGTGCCAGCCTGTCGCGCTCAGACCTCTTCTTTTCCGCCGCCCACCTCCCAGTGCAAGCCGCTCTCCTCTAACTGCTATCCCTGCTTGTCTTTCGGTGCTTTCCCTTGTGATCACTATGAGGCCCACATAATGTGGCCCTCTCTACTTCTTCAGCTTCCTCGTTGCCCCCGCCCCCCCACACACACACACCACCTGTCCCCACTCCCTGGGCTCGCGGCACACATGTCTGCTCTCCTATAATCCTGGGACGCACCGTGCTGTTTTCTGCTGCGGGGCCTCTGCATGTACTGTCGCCTGGGCTGGGGGGTGCTTTTCTCTTCTTCCCAACACGGCACTCTCCCCAGCTGTCCAGTGACCTAAATGTCACTCTTTCACCGAGGACTTCCAGACACACTACCTCCGCTGCCTCCAATCATTAAGTCCCTGTATTCTTCTCTCTGTATCCTGTGGTTTTCTTCCTAGCTTCTGTCACAGTTCATAATTATGTGTCTGTGGTTACCTGTTGATCTATGGAGTATATAGTCTAGTTTATAGTTTTTATATCCCCAGCACCTAGCACTGTGCCTATCACATAAGCCTGCTGCATAAATATTCACCAAATGTATGGGCCTGGAGGGGCCTGGGAAGAGCTAAAAGGATAGCCCTTGTCCTGCAGCTGACTATGGTAGGCAGGGCTAAGAATTCTTTGCCTAAATATAGGGATGCTTGTTAGTTTTGTTAACAAGGTCTGAAGTTGTGTCTTCAGGACTTCCGTATTCTGCAAAGTCATAAGCACTGGTGGGCATGAGTCACACGTCGCTCACTGTAGTTTGCCAGCTCCCTTATCTACTGGTCATCAGAATAACGTGCGGCCCATTAAGAAGGTTCTCGAGAAAAGTCTGTAGGAAAACCCTAGCACTGTCCTTTCTGTTTCCCTAGCTCCAATACTATTGGCACTTGTAGCGGGAGAAGCCGCTGGCATCATGGAAAACATAAGTGACGATGTGATTGTTGGCCGATGCCTGGCCATTCTCAAAGGGATTTTTGGTAGCAGCGCAGTGCCCCAGGTAAGCAGACAGGCGGGGACCTGGGTTCAGATTCAACAGCACAGGAGTTTCAGCCACAATTGAGCAGTGCATGCAGGGTTTACCTGGAGGCTGTTTGAAGTTCACGCCTTAAGTGGGATTCGGAAAAGCCCCTGGTACATGGGCTGGGGCATTGAGAAGGCTATTTGCTGCATTTTGTCGGTTTGTTTTGTCTGTTGTCTTTGCCTGTATAATCCTACCTAGCACCCCCTGCCTTTCAGAGAGTGGCCCAACCTCCCTGAGGGAAGCCTTAGAAGAATCTCGTGGGGCTTTTTTCTGTTCTTTAGGCCCATTGAAACACATTTGGACCCTTATGGTTCTTGTGAGAGGAGACATATTAATGCTTCATGTGAGTTTGTAAGAGAGAATTAGGTCGAGTCCTGGAAAGACCTCTGGATTCATAGTCAAGGAGGCATTTGGCGTTGTGTTAAAGCAGCAGCCTTCATCAATGGCTGACTCTCATGTCTGTTGCCTCTTTCTCCCTCATATCCCCACTCACCACAGCTTTTTCACCTTTCAGACATGACTGCTTTGCCCTTGGTGTCCAGTAATAACTCCTGCTCATGATTGTTTCTGTAGCCCAAGGAAACTGTGGTGTCTCGCTGGCGTGCTGATCCCTGGGCCCGTGGCTCCTATTCCTACGTAGCCGCAGGATCATCTGGAAATGACTATGATTTAATGGCTCAGCCGATCACTCCCGGCCCCTCAATTCCAGGTGCCCCACAGGTGAGAAACTGGCAAGCTGTACCTGTGCTTGTTTGGGAAAAGGCCAGTATCCCAGAATCTCAGGGTAAAAATGATGCCACTGAATTTTTTAGATTTTAGTCATTCTGTCCTTGGACCCTTTTAGATAATCCAAAGCAGAAGGAAGTAGCAGTATCATTTGTCAGATTTCTCACATTTTGGCTTTGTAAATCTAGGCAGTCTGTGTTCAGAATGGAAGCATCCAGAGTAGAAACCAGTTAATAACTTGTTCTTTATTCAGATTTTTGGCCCTATAAAACAAAAAACCTTTTTTTTTTTTTTTAAGATTTTATTGGGGAATTGGGGAAGGGGAACAGTGTTGGGAGATTGGGGGAGGGGAACAGCCAAGTTGTTGTCCTTCAGTCTTAGTTATGGAGGGCGCAGCTAGCTCAGCTCCAAGTCCAGTTGCCATCCGGCTGCCCATCGGCAGCTCAGCTCAAGGTGCCATGTTCAATCTTAGTTGCGGGTGGGCATAGCCCACCATCCCATGTAGGAGTTGAACAGGCAACCTTGTTAGGAGCATGTGCTTTCAGCTCAGCTCAGGAACAGCTCCCTGGCCCATGTGGGAATCGAACCAGTGGCCCTGTTGCTCAGAGTGCATGCTCTTAACCAACTAAGCCTCTCGGCCGGCCCAAACCAAAACCGTTTTTAATGCTACTCCCATTTTGTTATGGCTCCTAGGATTGTTGTAGGGTCCCAATCACTAGGGGCCCCAAGGGCATGGCCCTGAGAAATAACCTTGGGTCCTTCTCTAGATGCCAGACCCTGCTCCAGAGGAGTAAGTGTTCTCAGGACCCTGTGGCAAGGCCTGCTCTGAGCTGAGGGGCGAAAGCCTTCCTAAGAACAAATGCTATGTCCTCTATGGTTCAGAGTAGTCTGGAACCCTCAGTAGATACTGCATGAGGCAAAGGAAGCTTTAGAACTGGGTACCCCCCTCCTCCCACCCCGAGTTAAACTGATGAAAAAGAAAAGATGCAGCTAAGCATCCATCACTCCAGAACTAAGGCTGGCCTGAGTTTTATTGTCCCCTTTCTACTTCTGTCAGTTCTGGGAAAATGCCTGATTAGGGGTATTTTCAAACACAAGAGTAAAGATATGTTTTGCAACCTGCTGATTTCCTCCTAATTTTTTCCCCAAACTAGCCAATTCCACGACTCTTCTTTGCTGGAGAACATACAATCCGTAACTACCCAGCCACGGTCCATGGTGCTCTGCTGAGTGGGCTTCGAGAAGCAGGAAGGATTGCAGACCAGTTCCTGGGAGCCATGTACACACTGCCTCGCCAGGCCACACCAGGTGTCCCTGCACAGCAGTCCCCAAGCATCTGAGCCACATGCGTTCTAAGGGAAGAGGCCCACGTACGTGTCTTTTGCTGCGTAAGCCAAGTTCTTCTAGCAATACTAGGTTCCTGAGGAACTGGCCCTGTGTCTGGGCTCCTGGTCAGCTGCTGGAGCTCCTGATCGGCAGGTGGCCAGGGAGGTCGCCTCCTTCGAGTGACTGACAGCTAGGGAGGCACATGTCCTTTAGTTGGAAGTCTGTGTTCTTCGTAAAGACGGGCAAGGAAGTGCTGTGGGAGATCATCCCAGTCTCGGTGTGTGGTAGTTTTTTTTTATATTTTGAGAATAAAACTTCATATAAAATTAGTCCTTTGTTTGTTTCCCATTAGGGTTAGAGTTATATGTGTTTGCCTAAGGAAGATGTTTATATAAAGGAGAAAAATGGTTTGGTCAGGTGAGAAGATAGGATTGAGGGGTTCTATAGAAGTGATGGGCTTCCTGGTCTGTGGGGCCAGACTGCGCCACTGGAACTGTGGGGTGAGTGTGCCAAAGGCGAGAAGCTGTAGGTCAAGCATATGACTACTGGGGAACTTGGAATGAATTTTCAAGATAAGATGAGACGACACAGTGTTTGGGTAGGCCTCTCTCTGGAAGACCATCTGGCTTTATTCTCCACATTCCCTCAATGGCTATGCTAACTTTCCACTTCTGTCCACGGTATTAGTATAAAAGTTTGGGCAAGTGCACCCTTAGCAGATCAAGGCTTTGGGTAACTTCGCTGGTGTATTCATTTCCTGTTGCTGCTGTAACAATGGCCAGAGCAGGCTCTGAGGGCACAGTCCAGTTCCTCGCCCTTTTCAGCTTCTAGTGGCTGACTGTATCCTTGGTTTGTGGTCCCTTCCTCCACCTTAAAAAAAGCACATTATGCCAATCTGCTTCCCTCATCACCTTCTCGGGTTCTAGTAGCACCTTTAGTAGTACCTTCCTCGGTCTCTCTTTTACAAGGGTACTTGTGACTTCACTTAAGGCCCAGCCAGGTCACCTCCCCCACCTCAAAAATCCTTCATCACATCTGCAGTCCCTTTTGCCATGTAAGGTAAAAACTTGTAGGTTATAGTACACCTGTTCCTTCCCAAGGGCTCTTAACAGACTGTTATTATAAACACATGTATTATAATCTGCTTCTGGAAATCGGAGTTTACGTGTGCTTAAGTCAGTTCTTCCCTAAATGAGGTTTCATTCTCAGTAAGATTTAAAGGACATTATGTTGGTGGTCTGGCTGGAAGATGAAGATGGAGAGGGCTTTTCCCCTAGTCTTGGAATGAGTGACAGCAATGGGGAACATGCACACCAGGATCTGGGCACGTGGTGTAACTGACGTGAAGGTCAGCAGCGTGCAGTGAAGCGTGTGGACTGTGGAGCCTAACTCTGCCATTAACATTACCTCGGGGCTTAAGGTGTCTGATCCAGTGGTAAGTTCTTTTAAAAGTTTTTGCTTTAAAATAGATGGCATAGGTACCTCGAGACAGATTGTTTCATGTGAGGATAAGCCTGAAAAGAAAATCTAGCAATGAAATAGCTGCTACATGACTAACTCCAGTTCAGTGATGGGTTCAAGGCGTGTCCTCTTCTAAGCCTCAGCTGTTTCCAGTCCTTACAGTGAAATATACTACCTGCACCAATGCATGGAAAAGGAAAGTTGTACGCAGAGTTGACATCAATAAAAATGACATCACTGACTGACACGCGGAGCACATGGAAACGAGGGAGCTTTATTGGTTACATACTGTGCTGCAGAGCCAACAGACAGCATTTGAGCCAGAGGATACATGCAGACAGGCAGCTTCCACTATACACATGCACCCACGGAGCCCTGAGTCACTGCTCCTGGCTCTGCCCTGTTTCCATCGACAGGGTCCGGCCTCCTTGGTCCCATGCGTGGAGCAGGAATGTAGGAGAAGCTGCTGCCCCGAGACTCGGAGGGGCAGGGGTGAGACCCGAGCACTCGCCTAAGCAAGTAGGTGTGCTGACCGACAGATACTGACGCCCCTTAACCAAGGGGCCTAAAATGCAGTACAGTTTATTTGAGGGCTACTTCCCTAGCCCTCCCAATCTTTAAAATACAAAAAAATAGACTTTATTCTCTTAAAAATACATTCCATTCAGTACATGTTCTGAGCTGTGAAGCAGCAGGAAAATAGGGCCCCTTTCCTATGATCTTGGTTGTGAGGCTTTGAGACGAACCCTGTTCCCCACTCGGGGTATTTAAAAGATAATCCCTAAAAAGCAGCTCTTCCAAAGCAGTCGTGAACAACAACAAAACCCCACACCAATAAAGGCAGCTGGGGACTGGAGGCTGGGTCCTTATTCCTTCACTGGGAAGTGGTAGCACTTGGCACTGACCCACTAAATGTAAAGAACTACAACTACCCCAGGATGACAACCCCAAGATCAATACAGACCCTCCCACACCCATGAGGGATTTCTGTGCAAGCTTGCCTGAAGCCAAGGCCGGAGTCCTCGGCCAGCCCCACTGCGAATCCCTTTAACCCACACTATAACTTTCATTGCCACTCAAGAGCAAAAACAGCCATCGCTTCTTTTTGCCCCCCCATCCCTGCAGCTTTCTCTGGTGGTTTTTAGTATCAGAGTGGCAAGCGACCAGCTTCTGGCATTTAGCCAGCTCTACTTCAACCAACTGTGGAGTACCAGGCTCCCCACTCCCACTAGGAACCTTCCCACAACCACACACCTGCCAGTAAGATTGAGAGTTAGAGCCAAGCTGCAGAAGAGGCTTGTCACAAAAGTGGGTTTATTGGCTGGGATGGAATATTTGGCTTGATTAGACAACTTTTCAACTACCAGGTCTCCCCTTTATCTGGAAGTTTCCTCCAGGACCCCGATGGTGAGGCCTAGGTCCAGATGGTCACACCTATTGCTTTTCAGAAACGTGCCTTCCAACTTGGGAATTTGAGAGCCAGCCTTGCAAGCCATTAGAAGCCCAAGGGAGCTGAGCCTCCAGCCTTCACTGGCTATTACAAATGTTTTCTGCAATACTGATGACATTTTTTATATCTATTTTACAGCGGTTCTAGAAAGTGTGCAGATGAAAACAAAATATTTATCCTGAAGTAATTGTTACAGTCACACCCTATTGCACTCAGATTTTAAGATAGCCCCAGCAAGAGGACACCACAGCTGTCCCTCTTCCATAGAGCGTTTGGGGTAGTGGCAGATGTTGGTGCTGCTGAGATGTGGGAAGATCCAGACTTTGGCACCAGGAGCTACAGCACCAGAATCCAGGGCTCCAAAGCCCAAAGACGAGAAAATATTGGCGAGATCTTTGTAGGCATGGCTTGGCACCCTTCTGTTTCCACCAGCAGAGACGAGCCACAGACAGTTTCCCATGCCCTCAGTTGACCACCAGAGCTCAGCTTCCTTTCAACTCTCAGGTTTGCCAACCAGTGAACAATGGCAGGGAGTCTGGAAGCGAGAGGTTGCAGTCTTGAGCAAACTAGTTTCTGGCTAGTGACCCAGAAGCAGCAGGATGAGATTTTGAGAACAGCATCTGAAGTTGAACATCTGAGGCAGCAATGTGAAGGAAAGGCAAGTCCATGACAATGCCCTTAGATTGGCAAAACTCCAGAAAATGGAAATACAAGCAAAACGTTCCTGTCCCTGAAGGTAAGGTAGGTGCTCCCAGAGCCTCCAGGATTGCCAAGTCTGATGCAGACAAGGGCAGGACGGGCGCTGGTTCCCACGCTGAGTGGAGGCAGCGAAGACGACTCAGCACAGGAACAGGAGACACCAACTTGTGTTACGGTAAGTATCTGGCCTGGGCGCCAGGAGATACTTTGTGGCATTGGGCAAGGTTGGTGCCAGAAAGGGCCGCGCAGACCAGCTAATCTAACCCCTTCATTTTGCAGGCTGGAAAAACGAGGCCAAGGGAGTGTCTCTGAGCTCAACCTCATGACATTAAAACGTGAGGAAACTAAAGAATGAGGGCCCAGGAAAGCAATCAAAGGCAGTGGGAGGGAAAATCTTAGAATGCCAGATTGCGGACCCTCAGAAATCATTTCAATTAACTCATTTTACAGATAGGGAAACTGAGGCCCCAAGAGGACACTAATTTGCCCAGAGTCATACAGAAGGTACAGAGCCATGAAGAAAATGCAGCTTTCCTGACTCCTAGTCTGATGCTGTCTTTCACTATGAAGGAACAGTGTCTGCTTCAGAAAGGTCACCTTTGAAAGGGGATCCCTTCTTTGAACTAAGAAAACACTACAGAAAAAGCAGTGTCGAGAACATATGGTTCTTTTTAACTTCCCCATGTGAATCGTATATGATAACTAACAGTTTTTACTTATGTGGCTTCCTGAAAAGTTTGCTGCATTTTGAATTGTATAAACCTGGGCCCCTGATGGGCGTGTGTTACCTTTCCTCCCATGAAGTCGTCATGACAGGTGGTTTGCAGAAATCATGGACCCACTCCTGTCCGAATGATCCGCTTGGTAAAGTGCGATACCTCCTCCGTGGGAGTGAAGGAGGAGGAACAAAGTCCATGCCTTTTGTGGAGCTATTGCTTTGTGGAGTTGACTAAAGGGACATCACTTCTGCTGTCCACTCCCCCCCTTGCTGGGCGCTTCCTAGAAGGCAGAGTGCGCTGTGGGTCAGGCCCAGGCTAGTCTGGGCGTGTCTGAAGGTGGGAAGGAAGTCAGCCTGAAGTCTCCAGCCACGAGAGGAGCAGGCATGGCCAGCAGCATTATTGGTGCCCAGGAAGGAGACGCATGAGGCTTGTGCGCTGCCAGGTGCCTTTGGGGGAGAGCGGAGAGCTGGGGTTGGGGGGATGGTGTCATTCCAATAGGTGAGTACCCAGAGAACCGGTCAGCAAGGGGGCCAGGTAGGAGAAGCTTCAGCCTAATGGATAGTCCCATAATCCCTCAGAGGCAGCACAGACCTCCTGTGAAAGTCTGAGAACTAAAGGGAAAAGGAATGGAAGACCCCAGATGGCGCTAATGGCTGCTAAGTTGTAGGGTAGGTACTTAGGCCCGGATGGCAGACAAGGAGTGGACTGGAAGTGGAAAAGAGACGAAGAATTCAGAACGCTAACCACACGGAAGGGGCTGCTGTTGTGTGGCGGGGATATGAGGGGTTTCTATATCATTTGGGGGCCGGTGGCCCATCCTACCTGGGGGACAGGGACAAGGAGAGAGGGCTCATGCATCAATCAGGGAAGGCTGGGCCTGGGTGATTCTGTCCAGCTTGTCATTTCTGGTCCCCTCTGGCCACCTGGCAAAAATGACCTGAGCCACAGCCCGGCGCTGCCAGTCTCCCAGCCACGGCCTGCTGTCGGGCCTGGTTCAGTGGCCGTGGATCCCTCAGGGCGGGAAGGTGGAAGAGCCGAGGAGACAGGAGACCTCGCCCCGCTGGCTCAGTTTTCCTCGGCGCAGGGCCTGCTAGGCCGTAAGCGCTCCTCGCCCCGTCCTCGCCCCGCCTCTGACAGCCCCTGCTTCACAGGCAGGTCCGACCGTTCCAGGGCGTTGTGCGGTCGCCTGTAGACACTGAGTGTGCAGTCATCGCCTTCCTCCTGTGCCAATAAATGACAAAGGTGAACTGGGGAGGGCAATATAGTGAGTCACGAAGACTCCCTCCCCACCTACCCCACCGGTCCTCTCCAGCTTGGCAGGGGAGCTAGAGCACAGACCACAGCATAACTGCGAAGATAGGCTCTCACCTGAGGACAGGCCCACAGAAAAGTTCCTTGGAAACCAGAGTAGGCTACAAACTACAAGCTGCTGGGAGCTCCTAGGGAGACTGGGAGGCACGCAACTGAACAGGGTCCCTGTAGAGTGCTGGGCCAGGTGTGGGGGCACAGGAGTGGTCCCCCTAAGTAGGAGCCAGCAGTCCGAGTTATACACATGCAGGCTGCATGCGTCCTGGGGCGGGAGGCGCGGGCGCGGGCGGCACTTCCTTGATGGGAGGCAGGAAGTTGCAGAAACAAGCGGGACAGCTCTTTTCCTACTAACCACCAAGAAGCTCCTCTGCCTTCCCTTTCATATCCCATTACTGCACCTCATCCTCTCAGCTATCCAAAGCTTCAGGGGGCTAAAGACCCACCTTTCCCTCCACTGCTCTCGTACCAGACGTCTGCCTTCTGCCTTTTTCATGTTTTGCTTTGGTCTTCCCATGCAAATGCACATCAGCAGAGGGAGAGCTGCGGTCTGAACTGAGGCAGCCAAGAGCTCACATCCCGGCTCCCATCTCGGCTCCCATATTGGCTCCACGAAAGGACACCAGGCTTCCTCCTTTCACCCAGAGCTCCCAGCAGCTACAGCGGCTGCATGTGCTTCTAGCTGCTGCTCCGTGGAGCCAGCAGGGGAGCTGCTTCGGCTGCTCTAGCCAACCAAGAGAATGGAGGCCCTGCGTCCTTTTTGTGTGGCCTTCACATAGGAAGACAAATGGAGGAGACAAACTAGGGAAAGGATTTTGGAAATGCAGGCTGCTGTCTGCCAAATGCCCTCTTCAAGATACTTTAATTCTTCTTTAAGGGCAAACTCTTACCTTGCTTTCCACACTTCTCTGAGCTACCCCGTGTTTCCCGTGCCCCCAGTCTCCATAATCTTGAGTCACACAGGCCAGGACAGAGGGGGCAAAGGAGAAAGGAGAGATGGGCAGCGGAAGGGGCGAGTGAGGGGAAGAAGTGGGCCTTACCGTGTCTGCCGAGTGGTTCCAGGCTGCAGCCGGGGCAGCGTCTCCTACCCGATGCCGACGAGTGAGCACCTCCGACACGGTGAGGCTACTTTGGGTCCTTCGGGAGGAGAGCTCGGGGGCATCCCCTGAATTGCCTACCCTTCGAGTGCCCTGCTCAGAAAGGTGCAACCTGGGCTGCTCAAGGTCTGAGTAGTCTGTGGAAGACCTCTGGGTGTAGGCGTTGGTGGACTCCACATTTTTACCTATTCGAGTTGGGGCGTCTTCTAAAGAGTTCAGGTCTCGTCTACTCTTCCAGGCGTTCCGCACAGTAACATGCCTGGCGTCTGCAGAGCTCCCCTCTGAAGGGGCGCTGTGGCTTTTCCACCTGATTAGCTCCGCGGGGGATGCGTGGTTATTCCTCTCCACAAGATCCGATGGCTTGATTATAATGCTGCTCCGGGAGACCACTGTTTCAGGCCTGTTCTTCAGGGGCCCATCTCCCATCCTCTCAGCTTCTGGGAACTGCAGGGTGATGTCATGTTTGTGAATGGAGAGCTCAAAGGGGGAGCTGACATGGTTGCTAACCGATGTGAGCTCTGGTGGCCCAACCTGGATGTTGCTGGTAGACGTGTGCCGCTCCCGCGGGGCCTCGCCTGGGGCGGCTCTCGGGTTGCTGCTGTCAGAGGGGTAGATAGTAATGCTGCTCGTCACTTTGTTTGGCCCCGGTTTGGAGGTCGATTTCTGTTTCTCCGGTGTGGCCTCGGTTCCAGACCCTCCCATGATTTTTTTCACATCCTTATCAATGATGACAGGTTTGATGACAGCTCTAGACCGCAAGGCCTCTCTGGGGCTGAAGGGCCGCTGGCTTTTTGCCCCAGCACCATGGGCCTCTGGGAACTCCGCGGCATTGGTGGAGGCTCTGACAGCTTTCACCGATTCATTTTCCGTCCCAACATCTTTATCATCCTCAAACAGGCAGGTTCGGAGCCCCCCTCGAGATGTGGCTTTTTCTCTAGGGTTGGGCTGTTGTTTGGGCTCTGGCTCCGGGGTGATGGTTGTGTTTACCAACTTGGCAGTCACAAGAGATGCCGCGTCCATGTCGTCATCTGAGTCTAGCTTCTCTCTGCCACCGGGTTTGGTGACTCGGCACCTCAGGGCCTCGTGCTGGCTGCTGTCCTCCGTCACGACTGCTATGGGTGGATCGACTCCTTCTTTACTGGGGGTTGAAAAGCCCTGCAGGATGTTCTCCTGGCTTCTGGAGCTATAAGGATACTTTGACAAAAGTGGAGCCTTGGCATCTGGGGAACTGGTGTCAGCCTCCAAGCCGCTGGCAGCCTTTTTGCCCTTAGAGAGCCCTTCTGAGGAGGGTCTTCGAGATGAGGCCAGAGCTCCAATGGGCTTAGAACTGCCAGCGTCTGCGGCCTGAGTCACTTGACTCCCGTTGCTGGGCCCCTGCCCCCTCTTGCCAAAGAGGGCCTCAGCGGAGGTGTCAGAAGCCCTGTCAGCTCTACCCAGTGTGTCACTGGGGACAGGTCCATGGGTGCTATCGCTAAATGTTCGCGTCGTCTTCTCTACTCTTCCCCTCAGCCCGCTCTCAGCACCTGGCTTGGGAGTGCCCTTCCACACCTTACTGTGCTCCTGAGCAGCTGGCGGGTAGCGGCTGAGCACGGACGGCTGCTCCCGGCACTTCTTCCCTTCGCTCTGAGAGGAGCCAGGCGCAAATCGATCTTCAGTTCTCCTCGTCTCCTGAGTCCCACCGTCGGTACCTGCCCCTGTGTTGGGAGCTTTGGCTCCCCTCCTGTTGGTGAAACTGGGAGAGGAACCCTGCCTGTTGCTCAGGGAATAGTTTTCATTGTTGAGAGCAAACTCCCTGTTTCGGTGCCTCTCCCGCTTATGTTGAGGGGACAGTTCCCGGGACGTGTGCTTGGACACAGACGCCTCACTCCCATGGCCTCGAAACTTAGTCCTCTCGTGCCTGCCTTTGCTGGACAGGAGAGCGTCTTCCCCTTCCACCTCCCCATTCTCCAGCTCTTTCTGCTTCTTGATTTGTAGCTTGATCTCCTCCAGCTGGCTGGCTAAGAGTTTGTTTTTATTTTGTTCACTTAGGTAATTATCCTGAAGGTCATTATTTTTGGCCCTCATTTTCTTAAGCTCTTCTTCCAAAGATTCAAAATGTCTGATCTGTGTCTTCAGTTTCTCAATCTCCTGGTTAAGGTCTTTGACTTTATTGTCTTCCTGGTTTCGGTTCTTTTCATTTTCGGACTTGTTTCTTGTTTCATTCTCTACCTGCTTGAGATAGTCCAGAGTGCCCTTCCTCCTCGCCTCTTTGGATGGTAGTGTGGATGAGATCCCATCCTCGATCCGTAGGTCATTCCTTTCCAGGAGATTAGAAGCGTTCCTTGTATAATCTCGGTTCAGTTTTTTGTTCTGCTCCAGTTTCTGAGTGAGCTCTTTTATCAGTTTCTCATTTTCTTTCTCCTTTTCATTCAAGTATTTTCTCTCACTTACAAAGCTCAGAGTTAAGGATTTCAGCTTTTCCAGCTCGGACACTAAATTCTGCTCAGTTTTATCTAGGCGGTCCTCAGAAGACTCCAGTTCTTTCACTTTGACCCTGAGCATTTCCAGCTCCGAGGAGATTTTCTTGGTCAGGTTTCTCTCCTCATTCAGGCTCAGACAGAGCTGGGTACAGTCATTCTTACTCCGGCTGAAGGCCTCCTCCAGTTTCTCCAGTTCGGCCATGCGTTTCTGGAGCCGCTCAATCTCCGACTTCAGCTCCCGGGTGAGGCTTTCCTCCTCTTCCAGCTTCTCCTTCATCAGCTGGCACAGATCCTCTGCCCTCTTGATCTCCTCATCTTTGCCTTCAATCCTCAGCACGCGCTGGCGCAGCACTTCGATCTCGGCCAGCATACTCGAGTTGCTGCCTTCCGCCTGAATCACCTTGTCCTGGAGCTCCAGGAGCTCATCCTCTGCTTTCTGGAGGTTTTTTGTGGCTTCCTCCAACTCATCAAGGCGGCGGCTTAGACTCTGTAGCTTAAACCGCAGGAGGCGGCTGGAGGCAGCATCCTTGTAGTTTGTAAACTCAGCCATGTCTACTGCCAGCCAGTGTGGGCTCCTAGAGGTATCCAGTTCCCCTCAAGGGCATGAGAGATGGTTACCTTTCTCTTTGCATCCACAACCTTCTCTGGCAGCTGGGGACCATTATCAGTCTACAGAAGGAAAGCAAGAAACATGTCAGGCAGCAAATGTAACATCTGCACTTCAGCTCCCAGCTGTAAAAAGAGCTCCCACGTGTAATTCTTGTGCCTAAAACATAGCAGGTGCTCACATTTGTTGAATGAATGCATTTGAACAGACCTGCAGGATACCACTGGTTCTTCATGGCTGATAATGAGCTGATGTCTAGTTTCACCCTAATGAAGAATGCCACCAGTGCACATGGCAAAAGGACATAGAAGAAGGCCTCGTTTCTCGTGGCAGGCTATAATCTCAGGAAAGTCATTTACTTTTCTATAAATCATTAAGGAAACAGCCTCAGTTTTCCTTAGTTGTAAAATGGGGATAATAATGCCTACCATCTCTCTCTCCAGTACTGTTATGAGATAAGGCATGGAAAGCTCTTGGTAACAAAGCAGTAAACAACTCTAGGATTAGTCAGAGCTACAGGGAAAGAAGTAGACTAGTGAAAAAAACTCACCTCATTCACATTGGGAGATAACACAGCCTATAGGGAGGAAGGGAGGATTGTATGCCATGGGAATTTATAATCTTGGGCCTGCCTTCACTTAAGTTCAGAGTTCAAATTTACACTGCCTGTGTGCTCTGGTATCTCACTGAGAACCTATCCTAAAAGTGATACTATCCCTGGGAAGCCTACTAGAGGTAAACAAAACTACTCTGGAAAGCAAGAGTCCCTACTGAGTCCCACAGATAAAGTCCTGCTGAACCTGAGCTTACAATTCCAAATTACAAAACATATACATAAGGACCAGCATTTTACTATGACTGAATAAAGGGGGTTTATACCAATAAGAATCCTAAGAATCCAAGTAAGACAGGCTAGAGACCACAAATTAAGTACACTCCAATATTTAAAGTCATAAAAGGAATCAAAAACAGGAGACAATAACAAGATACTATCGAGGAAGAGCAGATGACTTTTTAAAATTCCCCAATAGAACTGCTGGAAGTGGAAAGGAAAATAGCAAATAGATGCAAATAAGGAGTGTAGTGGTTGGGAAAATACCAAGAGCAGTGGCACTGAAGCCTGAAAGGTGAAAGCGAGGTTAACAGGGAAATTAAAAGAGGTCCAAAAGGAAGGAACAGACAGTATGGGGACAGGTAATATTTGAAGAGCTACGAGGTAAGAATTTTCAAGAGTTGATAAAAGATATGGAATGAAAATCTGGGAAACAAAGTCCCAACCAAAATTCAATCTGCACCTAGACGAGAACATATAAAAGGAAAATAAAAACCTAAATGTTGATTAACAGACCCTCACTGAAAGAACTATTCAGCAGACAAACTAATCATTAAAGGCAGGCATGAGGTGCAAGAAGGAATGGTAAGCAAAGAAATTAACCCAAACAAACACTGAATCAGTTAAACAATAACCCAAGTGGAACTAAAAACACTGGACAATCACAACATGTAAGTCAGAGACAGAAATCAGAATTCAAGTAAAACATTGTATTCTCTGGGAAGAAGACAGACTTACTATAATTAACTTTAGACCTTATTAAGAATAGATACTGGGCCGGCCGAGTGGCACGAGTTAAGAACTGGCTTGAGACGCCAGAGGGCCCCGGTTCGGATCCCACATATGAGGGCCAGTGACACTGCCCTCCACAGCTAAGATGCTGAACAACAGCTCAACCTG